AAGAGAATAATATCAAGAGGTTGTGATAATAAAATATTGCTTATAAATTTCTTTAAACTAGGATAAATGAATAATTATATTATGTTATTATTTTTATTAGTTATATATTTTCAAGAATCAAATATATTTAAATATTCTATGTATTTTTAGTATAATATCAAGAGAGCGTCAAAACGCTATCTTATACTTCATAACGTATCAACGATTGTGATTGTTTGCTGCGATTCCTTTAAGATATTTCACCAAATGCCGCCATTTTTAGTGTTGAGGTGAACTAATTTTATTATTATATTTATTTATTTATTTTTTATTGTTATAAATTTATTTACTTATTTATTCATTTTCTGTTTGCCTATAAAGTAAATAGACAAACAAAAAATGAATAAATAAGTAAATAAATTTATAACAAAAAAAAATTATAAATAAAAATAATAATAAATATAATAATAAAACTAGTTCACCTCAACACTAAAAATGGCGGCATTTGGTGAAATTCGTGGATCTTGGACAATGATAAAACAGGAGGATAATTGTATCGCAACAATTGAGAGAAAGATTTTGCGGAGTATACTTGGTAGTGTAAGTGAAAACAATAACTAGAGAAGGAGATTTAACTTTGAACTGTACAAGATTTATAAACAACCTGATATTATTAAATACATAAAAATAAATAGAATGAATTGGATGGCCCACGTGATTCGAATGAGTGATGACAATACAATAAAAAAGATACTGCTTTTTAGACCCACTGGAACAAGAAAGCGGGGAAGGCCGTGGTTGAGATGGGCTGACTCAGTGGAGTCTGATTTTCTCGCAATTAATGAAAAGAATTGGAGATCAAAGGTGAATCAGAAGTCGTCATGGAGAAATCTTCAGAGGAAGGCTTTGGCTCACATTGGGCTGTCTGGCCAACTATGATGAATGATGATGATTTACTTGACAAACATATTTTCATGCGTATTAGAATCTATTTCTGGTTCATTGCAAAAACATTTCATTTAAAAAACAAGCACATTTTTAGATATATATTTGCATTAACTCCCTCAAAAAATCGTTATTTTGGCTTTTTTATATGCTTTTATACGCTTATAGTACAGTTCTGTACTTAAAAATGTATTTTTTTACCTCAACACCAAAATGGTAACAACTACACACCAAATTTTTTTTCATTGTATGTATAATTAGGCATTATGAGTAAATAGTAACTCTTTCTCCTCTCTCTGAACTTATAACTTATTTCATTAAATAACCATGTCTTTAAATAAATAAATAAATGAATAAATTAAAAAAATGAATAAATAAAATAAATAAATGAATAAATTAAAAAATAAATAAATGAATAAATTAAAAAAATAAAATAAAATAAATAAATAAATAAATTAAAAAAATAAATAAATAAATAAAATAAATAAGTAAAAAAAGTAAAAAAATAAATAAATAAATAAAATAAATAAATAAAAAAAGTAAAAAAATAAATAAATAAATAAAATAAATAAATAAGTAAATAAAACTTCTAAGGTGCAAATTTTTCTTATTTGTTCGTTTAGTTTACCTGAGTTCTTTTAATGGCATACGCAGAAGCATACAAAAATTGTGAAGAACGTAAATAAGTGGAGTAATTATCTGTCTTGGTATTGATTTAATTAAAATAACGGAATTTTAAATTATAGAAACTTGGTAATATGGAAATGTTGTAATGCATCAATATCCCTTTTTAATTTAAAAAAAATTATCTGCAATATCAAAATTATGTTAGTAATTTCTCTTAAGCAAACGTACAATTATATATAGAGTGTCAGTTTTGGTATCCATCTAAGTTTCTACAGTTGGTAAAAGTAATAATTTAAACAAAAGTTCTGAAACAAGTTTAATTCATATTATTCTAGTTCAAATGCTGTTCATAATTCAAATATTTATTTATGCGATAAACTTTACTGAGCAATCTTATTTACCGAAGTAAATCGGGTAGGAATGGCAGAGAACTTGAAGTATTTAACTCTCGTTCGATATAGGAACCAGGTGGCTTCACTGAGAGAAAAAAAAAGGTAAAAACTAAAAGAATATGGTAAAACATGTACTTCTGAACTCTCACAAATTAACGATGAAAAGAAAATTGCACATTTTTAAAGAAATGTTTAAGAATCATTCTGATATGAAAATGTTATTGATGCAGGTATTTAAATTATTTTATTTATTTATCGAGTTGCGTTAATCACTAATAGCAGTAGAACTATAATTTCTTCAAGACACGAACATCCAATTCGACATGCCTTTCTTAATTATGATAAAACTAAAGTGTACTTTTAAGAGTCACGCCAATTCCGGTTACCACATAACAATCTCGGTTTTCAACAGAGCTTGCGCAAAATCTACGTAAAAACTACGGACGGAAACGCGCACGCTTCAGTACGTAGTTTTCGACGGACGGTGTATAGAGAATCGAGGTTGATGTACGGAATTCGCCAAAAAGGTTTACAATACTTTTACACAAACGCTGAATTTAGAAAATGTTTGCTGTAAACAGCGAATTCTCAAAGATACTCTAAAAATCTTATTGCTCAGGATGGTTACAAGAAAGGAAATATTTAGAGAAAGATTGAAGAAACAAATGTTTTTATCTAAGCCCAATCTACCAAAATATAATTGTAAAATAAAGAGAAAATATGTAGACATTAAAACTGTTCAACTTATAAAGAATTTAAATGAAAGTTAAAATTTTCCAAATTTTCTACAGAATTATAAAGCATTTGACCCCACTTAATAAAATTTTTCCTGGTTGTGGCCATCTTACTACTGTTTGTTGTTTGCCTTTTACATGCATCGAACTTAGAGCAGCTTTTTATTCATTTTAAATGCTCCCATACGAACTCATTAATCAGCAATTTGTAATGCAATTCTTTTTCTATCATTTATTACTTAAAAGAGTGGCGCTACTACTTTTCTGACACTACCAGACGTGCGTGTCCTTTGGGCAGCACGTCTGGTAGAACGCCACTCCACCACGAAAAGATTCCAAGTAATGCGTGCAGAGTAATGTCATATCCGATTAAAAAATCGCGATAACAAATTGAAAAATAAGGCTTCCTACATACTAAATATACATAAACGTAACTAGCAAGTACGTTACTAGATTCTGTCCTTCCACCCATAGGGTGGTCTTCCTAGATACTAAGGTTTTTTCTATATACTAATAACTCTTTCGTACTAAGTGAACATAAATCTATGATGACCTATTTTCCTGTCCTTTCACCCTTAAGGTGGTCTTCCTACACAGTAGTAAGACTTTTCCTACATACTAATAAAGCTTTTTCTACATATTAATAAATCTTTCGTACTAAGTGAACATAAATCTATATCCCATTTCCCTGTCTTTTCACCCTCAAGGCATATAGATAAGGCTTCCTAGATGCTAAGTGGACATAAATTTTTCCGCCGGTGCCAGGTGGTACAGCGGTCAGAGTGCCTGACTGTGAAGCAAATGGCTACGGGCTCGAATGGGCATGGATGTTTCTCTCTCTCTGTGTTGTTCTCTGTTGTGTGATGTGTGAATGTAGCCCATCCTATATAAACGGGTATCAGTGGCGGTGTGGCGTGGGTAATGTTTCTCGCCTCCGTGACTTAGGTTCACAGGTGCCTACTGGGCAACGACAAATGAGCAACAATTCCGGCATTTTCCGAGGTGAAGACCGAAAGTTCAGTGCCTGCCGTAAGAAAAAGAAAAAAAAACATAAATCTATCATAATTTTTATCTCTCTATCCCTTCACTTCCATGATTGTCTTGAATCTCCATCTTCTAGTATTTATTATGCTCAGAGTAGGGGTAGTAGTTGATCATACAAATGTTTGTACTATAAAAACCATAACTAAAAACACCTAATTGTCCTAAGGAAAAGTTTGTTGGTATTTGGCCTTACAGAAACTGTTGAAAATGATATTGAGTTTAAGAGATTGAGAAACTATTCAGATTAAGTGATTTTATTTTATTTTATAACCATCGTTGAACAGCCGACCCAATTTTATGGGTTTGCAAATACTAATGTTCACCTCCGTAGACTTGCAATTTTTGAACCCAATCCAGAAGACAAGGGAACTCCTGTCTTCGTAATTCGACGACCTACGTGTAAAATCATGTGCTTTACGGTAGAACTATTTAACAAGAACCCATTCCACGCATTCTCGGTCTCTTCTCAGGCTGATCNCTAACCCATTATCCGTCTACCACTGAGGATATTTCACATCAGCACTATGGTCGGTGCAAGCCGGATGCGGAATTCGTATCGACTGGGATTCGAACCTGGTTCCCCTCATTGGAAGGCGAACGCTCTATCCCCTGAGCCATCGCTACTCAGAGATTAAGTGATTTGACGTAAGAGTCAACACTGTTAAAGAGATTTAGCACTCTCACGTGGCATACCGTACGTTTACATATTCATATTCCACTTAGCTCATTTTTTTATTTTTAAAACCATCTCAAATTTCTACCGAACTTGCACATGGGTGCAGGATTCTACCTGAAAGTGCATTTATTTATAGGTTTATCTTATGTAACCTTGACTAGGAATCATCACAACTTTACTTTGCTTTTTCTGCTCTACTTTATTATATTACTTGTGACACTGAACTGTAATTCCTTTAAGTATTAAAAATACACATTTAAAGTAATTTTGAAAGACATTGCACGTATTTCAGCTAATCGGCAATAATGTTTGGAAGTTTTTGATTTAAACAAAACGTCTTCTGCAAAAATGAGATGATTAATTTCAAACCCCAAATTTTTTTTATTAATCGAGATAACATTGGATAACTCAATCTTTCAATCAAACAAACAAAAATGTTTAAGTTTTTTTCTTAACTTCTACGCCAGCAATTTACGTCAGTAGCTTTCTGTTTAAGCGGTAATTTCTACTAATTACTTCATTATTTTTCCAACTGGCGGTTCCGGAGAACTAAATTGGAAACGATTATTGATTTTCGATATTTAAAAAAATCAAATTACTCACCAAGCGTTGAGGTGCAGTTCTCATGGAGCGTTAATATTATCACGAAGAGTAGGCTAGCAGCCCCATATGTTCACCCTCTGAGACCAAATGTTTTAGAGTCCAAAATCTAAAAAGAGAGAATAGAAAATTACTAATATAGAAAGTATAAATACTTTAAATAAATTAAAATAAAATAGAATTGGAATTTTAGAATCAAACTTTTTGACGTTATTAGTATAAAAAATATGCATATATTGTAAATCACAAAATGTAAGAAAATATAGAAATCAATAAAGAATGATTTTTAAAGCATTTAATTTCAATCTTATTATTTTTTCTCATGAGCACTGAAAATTATATTGACTGGTAGTTGCAATTTTTTACAAATTCACAAGCAAAATTTTAAAAAGAAAAATCATTTTTAAATGTACAGCTTTAGAAATTCACAAACAGGTTTTTAAAAAAATTACCGTCAAGCAACATTATATATATTCGTTATATTTTTTATAAATAACTTGAAGTTATACCGGTGCATCTAAGTTGTAATCTATTTTCATACTCATATCTCTCTCCAATCTAAATGCAAATCACCTTTCTATTTACGGACATACTTAAGAAATTTCTTGAGAGAATTTTCGGGAAATTGACACCTCGAAAATTCTAAAAGCATCCAAAGCGAAAAACCGGAAGATATCAAGAGGAGAGAATTAGCTTATAGCTTACATCGAGAGTTAAACTTAACGAATTAAAATGAAGGTTAACAAAGTAAAAGTACTTAATTGGGTATAATATAGCCTATGTCACAGGTTGTGTTGTTCCTACTAAATTTAACCCATGAACGGCATTTTCTGCGAGCCTAAATTCAAGCCACAAATAAACAAACGAAGTGTTCGATCGTTTAAATAGCTGCTCGCCAGATTTTATTGCATTATAAAGAAAAGTTATTGAAACTAAATACAACTAAATAAACAACAACAACTAAAACAAATAACAACAACTACTAATAACAATAACTAAATAAACAACAACTAAATTCCATTCGTTTAGCATTGCGTCATATGTTGTTCCTACTAAATCGAAGTAGTTGTGTTTTTTTCATATTATACCCAATTGAGTAATGGATAAACTGAAAGAGGTAGAGAAGGTGTGATGAACATCACAATTAAGTATATACAATATCAGTATATAAAGTGCTTATATGACTTTCATTTACTCATGGAGAAGATTTTTGCGCAATTACTCTTCAACAAAGACTTAAAGCAAGTATGAAAAGATACTTACTCGGTACTACAAAAATGAATCAAAAGCAACCAACACAGATACGGCAAAAAAAGTTTTAGGAAAACGATAAGAAAAATGTTTTCGATGACATCCAGAAAATTAAACGCTCAAGCTGGTAATAAGCTGGCTGTATAGCTCGGAAAATTGGCATTCTCTCTGACTTATACAACATTTTATGCTGATATCGTTGTGGCATCAGAAGCCCAAAAAAGCAACGAGAAATAAGGTGGTCTCATGAAATTATGAAAAACAGAAGGTGAATTGTAAGTAAAACAACTCTACAATTGTGGTTAAGTTAAGCGATGGATTGATAATGGCTAAAATTGGTGATATTAATGCAAATATTATGATGGATTAAAAAATATAACCTAAGCATTAAATGATTAAAGTTAATATTTATTTGCATGAATTAACTCTTCAGTTCACATTTATTGATCGGCCGGTACATTATCTCTCATATAGCTTCCTCATCAGCGTCCTCCTCAGTACCGATTCAAAATACTCAATTTATATTTATCGGTATTGAAACTGAAGTATATATCAAGCATTAGAATTAATTGATGTAAGCCTCATTTATTTTTCTTGCCACACATTAACGATAATAATATAGATTAAACTTTGTTCATAAATGATACAAAATTTTATTTCAGATGCTTTCGGTTTAAATTTTCTTTCTCAACACATTGACAGTTTTAATTTTACTGAGAATGTACATTTTCTAAAATTGAAAAGTAAAGGAATGTTAAAACAATCTGAAATGCCCAACAAATAAACGAAAAAATATGAACAAGAATCTCTCTAAAACAAATATATTTTCTTATTCAATTCTTTTTCTTACTCAATTCACACTCTCCCTATGTACACCGAACAGCCATTACATTATGACCACCCTCCATCTATAACAATGGGCTCGCCCAGGTTTCCATGGCTTCTCACCCAGGAACAATGCTTTCATGGGGCACATTAGGACCCATAATCCTCATAGAACAATCCCTGACGTCCGTAAGCTACTTGAACATAGTTGCAGACCAGGTTCACCCATTCATGGCAACAGTTTACTCCTGCTGGGGATGGTGTTTGCCAACAGGATAATGCACCATGTCATAAAGGTCGAATCGTCATGGATTGGTTCGAGGAACATTCCAGTGACTTTCAAGTCATGTTTTGGCCCCCAAATTCACCTGACCTTAATCCAATGGAGCATTTGTGGTCCTACTTGGAATTCGTGCTGCCGCGCTACCCCTCGCAATGTGAGGGAATTGCAGGACCAGTTGGTGAGCGCTTGGTACCAGATTCCTCAGACTACCTATCAGCACCTTGTGGAATCAATGCCACGGTGGGTGCTAGCAGTTTTGAGGGCTAAAGGTGGTCCTACATGTTATTATCAGGATGGTCATAATGTAATAGCTCTTCGGTGTATATTTCTATATCTTATTCAAATTTTCAATCGTTAATAAAATACTTTTTATTCATCCACTCAAGTTCAAATACATTTTTTTAAACTGGTAGTGGATGATTCTTGATNTTGAGACACATTCCTAAAGAGCTAGCATTCAAGTCACAAAATCGTTGTGCTCCTCAATAAAAATTAGGGAAAATCTTCCGAAGTAAATTAGTTGAATGTTTCATTTTAGGGAATAAAGGAAATCATTGTAATTGGTCTATGGGAATATAGTTTTCTCACGAGTTAGCAAAGGGAAAAATGTCAAGGTCAATTAATGCATACTTGAACTAAAAATAGTTTAAAAGACAGCATGTGAATTTTAAAGTGTGAGAAAGAGAGTTTTGTTTTCAATAGAAAATTAAGAGAGATTTACAGAAAAGGAAAAACAGAAAAAGATTGGTTGAAGCTTTTTATGTTAAATATATACAGTAAATATTGTTTTTCTCTGAATTTAATAACTATTTTATTTAACTTGTTTTTGCAACTTTATTTTTCTTATAGAGCATTTTTTTTTCGATTTTAGATATGACAGCCTAAATGACAGACTTGCGCCAGCTTTTAGATTATTCTAGACTTTCTTCTAAGCTTGTTCTAACGCCATAGGAAGCTGGCAGCTCACTACTATCATCGGTTTTATTGATACATACGTACGTATTAGCGTTTTATGTAATATAGATAACTTAAGCATTAAATGATTAAAGTTAATATTTATTTGCATAAAATAACTCTTCAGTTCAACTTTATTGATCTACCGGTACATTGGTTCTCATATAGCTTCCTCATCAGCTTCCTCCTCAGTACCGATTCAAAATACTCAATTTATATTTCTCGGTACTGTAACTAAAGTATACATCAAGCATTGGAATTGATGCAAACTTCTTTTATTTTTCTTGGCACACATTAACGATAATGATATAAATTAAACTTTGTTCATAAATGATACAAAATTTTGTTTCAGATGCTTTCGGTTTACATTTTTTTTTAACAGGTTGACAGTTTTCACTTTACTGAGACTGCACATTTTCTAAAATTGAAAAATAGAGGAATGTAAAACAAATCTGAAATGGTCAAAAAATAAGTGAAAAAATATGAACAAAAATCTCTCAAAAATAAATAATTTTTCTTATTCAATTCACACTATTAGCTTACACTCTCCCTATATATATTTATACATCTTGTTCAAATTTTCAATCGTTAATAAAATACTTTTTATTCATAAACTCAAGTTTAAATACATTTTTTTAAAACTAGTAGTGGATGACACTTGATGTTAATACATCTTTTCAAATATTAATTAATTAATTAAATTTAAATAATGAATTTTAGTTTTATATGACTCAGGTTGAAATACGCCTACTAGCAAGAATCAAACCGTTCATTAAAATAGAAAGCGACTAAACAGTAAGAAACAAAAATAATAGTCCAACACTATATATAGAAAGGAAAATGGAATATTGCAAGGAAATTCTCTTTCTATTTTGGCACTTAATATTGTGATTCGGTCATATACATATTTATATTAATAGTAATTACATAATAAGAAGTAGCTAAAATAAAAATTCTCTTTGTTCACCTAAGTAGAAATTGACTTTAATAAATGCTTTCTTTTTAATATTACTTGTTAGTCGTTACACTAGGAGACAAGGTCAACATTTAAATTATAATTTTTAAAATCATTGATATAAGCGGGAGTTAAATTTAAACAACACAGATAATAAAGCCCAAATATAATGTGAATATAAAAAGAATAGATGATTAAAAGGTGTGGATTTTCTGACACGAAAAGAGACGAGTGTTTTTAGTGTACTTAAAATATTTTTTTATTTATTTAAGATGGTGCTGAAGTGCTTTTCGCGAAAAAAGGAAGAGACATTCTAAGCGGAGATGATAGTTTCCAGGCAACAATGTATATATTTTTTTAACTTTAATGTAAAGTAATCCTAAAAATAATCATCGGTCTATAGATAAACAAAATTTAACGATTTATTTAGTTGATAATACTAGTACGCTGTTAAAAAATAGGTTTCAACATTTCAAAAATGAAAAGTGATAAGTAACCAAAATAAAAAGGGATGTACACTTTAAAAAATTCCCTTTCAAATTACGGTAAAAAGTACCAGATCTCTGAGTGCCGGTACCTCTTACCGTGATTTGATCCTGAGTACAGGCACTCAGGATGCCGGTATTTTTTTATCTTTAAATCCATTTTTTACCAGAACATGTTATGAACAAAACTCTGATAAACCGTAATTTTTACAGTAAATACTGAAAAATAACTGAATTATTCTAATTAAATAAATACTATGGTAAAAATTAAATTGTAATATTTTGCGGTAAAATGCACCCAAAGTGCCGGTTCTTTAGATTGGAATTTTTTATTGTGTATAACGAAATCAACCAAT